GGGGATCCCCTGATGCCACAGGAGACCTATCATCTTGGAACTCGCCACTCTTTCCTCCAGAACAAAATGTTAACTTTCTAATATATTTCATGCATAGCTTGGCTCAGAAGGTGCCACTGGCAGACAGGCACATGGGAGGCTGCAGTAGGAAGTCTGAAGATTAGTTCAGGGGATGGACCAAGAATTCCCCCCAGAGCTTTAAAGAAGTGGGACTCAGCCATGTTGGCATGTGATTGACATTACAGCACAGAAAACTGTTAGTGACTGGTTTCCTGTTAGATAAGGGTTCTAGAAGCCTGGGGAAATATATCTCAGCTGGAATGGAAAGAATGTGAGATGGAACCTCAAGTCACTGTTTTTACCAGGGACACATCTGTTTTGGCTCCCAATCAGCAGTCTTCAATAGATCAATAATTCTGCCCTGGAAGAGAAGGAACAGGATGCAGAGAGACCCCGTTGGGAGCCAGAGATGGAACTTCAGGTCTTAAGTGCAAATCAAAGCAAAAAACAAACAAAACTTACATGGAAAAACTGTAAGTGCTGAAAGCAAGTTTAGCCATGACAAGCCAAAGAGTGCCCAGGTCAGCCAAGAAAGATACATACTCTCATGGGACTTCAGTGAGAGTTACACAGGAATGTTGAAGAATCATTCTTCTTTTTCATGCATTTGTCCCTCTCCCACCCCTTACTACACCCTAGCAGACCAGCTGAGTGTACTTTATTCCAAGAACTTACTAGATCTCTGGTTTTTCTCCTGAAGTTGGGGCAGGTGCAATTCCAAGCATAACCACCAGATGGCAGAGTGACCGCACATACCTGCTTCCAAGAATAAAACAGTTCTCAAATGCAACCACAAAGCTGGGCGCGGTGGCTCAGGCCTGTGATCACAACACTTTGGAAGGCCGAGGCAAGTAGATCACTTGAAGTCAGGAGTTTGAGACCAGCCTGGCCAACATGGTGAAACCCCATCTCTACTGGGCATGTAGTCCCAGCTACTTGGGAGGTTGAGGCAGGAGAATCACTTGAACCTGGGAGGCAGAGGTTGCAGTGAGCTGAGATGACACCACTGCACTTCATCTTGGGCAACAGAGCGAGACTCTGTCTCCCAAAAAAAAAAAAAAAAAAAGAAAGAAAGAAAGAAAGAGAAAAGAAAAGCACCAAAGGCAGCCTTAGGGAAAACTTGGAAGTAAGTGAAGTTTGTTTTCAGAATACGTATCTCCCTTTCCAATCTATCTCCTACCCTTTAGATGCTCTCAGTCAGGTACTCATTGAACTCATTGATTGAGTGCTGTCTGCTAAATCTCCAAACCATTCCCAAACCTTTCCCCGTGGTATACCATCCAGCGCCCCTCCCCTTCCTCCAAAACCCTCACTCCCACCTCCCCGCACCCATTCAATCACTCACAGGGAGGAGGGAGACCGAGCATTCCTCTGGGTTATCTGCATCTCAGAAGAAAATGCTTACCCACAGGAACCGTTAACTCAGGGGTTCTTAACTTGGGGTCCATCACCCCAGGCGGTCCATAGTTGGACTTCAGAGGGTCTATGAAACCCCTAAAACTGTTAGTATTTAATGTATTTATTCTTGTATGTTTTTTCCAGAGCGTTAAAGCTTTCATAAGGTTCTCAAAGGTCTCAGACCTACAAAGAGTTAAAAACAAAAAACAAAACAAACAAACAAAAAAACACTATTTTAAATAGTGGAACTTTCAGCCCAGGGTTTCTATAATGCAGAGTGAAGTGGAAACTGGGCAGTTCGAGACAGGTTTTTAATTATAAGTGGTCTTCTCAAGTGTCCATCAATTGATGGGGAAGGGTGGCACCCACCAAGAAGTGGAAGTCCTCAGAAATTCTTGGCACACCCTAGAGTATTGCACAACCAACACCCCCACATAACTTTGTCCCCTCTTCCCAATAACCCAGAGCAGGTGTTGCAGACAGGAGGGCCACAGCATGTGGAAGTAAAGACTTTGGAGCTAGAGACGCCTTTTCCAGCAATGATTATTGACTTCACCACACCCCTTGCCTGGCCTGGCCTGAGGCTCAGCAGTGCATGACTTCTCGTAGATAACTTCACAGCCATCCAGTCCCAACACCTGCTCTTGCCTGGTAGGAATAGGCGAAGTGTCAGCCCTCAGCGTTGGGTACCTAGACCCAAACCAATAAATGGTGAGTTCTGAGCAAGAACTACCATCATGCAGGCTTCCTGCCAGCTGACCACTGGCCCCGGGGGTGCCTGCCTGGCTGGTCTTCATCACCCCTGAGGCCACCAGACTCAAGCCACTGCTGTTGCATTACACCCATCCCTTTGCAAAATCCCTATGGAGCCTGTCACCACTCCCCTCCCTATACACCCCCACCCCACAGAGATTTTCTTCAGGTTAAAAAAAATGGTTTAAAAAAAGATTTTAAAATAAAGCATTTATGAAGGCTCAATAAATTGTAAATTATTTTTAAATAAAATGAAAATGCCTTTCCTGGAATGTGGCTGTTTTCCTCGCCCCTGGAATCTTCTGACGTGGCTTCATTTGAGATGCAGGTTGAGTGATGCCCACGTGTAATGATCTCACCTGTGGCACACCTGTATGAAGAGGCATGCCGCTCCGGGCCAGGTGTGAGGCTGCGGTGAGGTCACGGGGAAGCCTTGGCACACTACTTTGGGAGGCCAGATGATAAGATTTTTCAGGAGTGAATGCCAGAAATGAGAAGTAAAACCCAAACGAGAAGCCAGTGTGCATAAAGACAAGGAAGGAACACTAAGATGACAGTGAGAAGGGCTGGCATTTGCTGAACCCATGTGATGGGTGAGGTGCTGTGCTGGGTGCCGTCCAAATTCAAGGTCTTGGGGGCTAAACCCAGACAAGCCACTGAGACAGAATGTTGGTCACACTAGCTGGCTTCTGCAGAACCTTCGGAAAGGAGTCCAAGTGGCATAACTCTGGCAGTTTGCAACCAAAGGCTAGGGAACGGAACACAAGAATGGGCCAGGCCTGTTGGTCAGTTTTAAGCCGATGCTGGAGGGAGGGAACAGCCAGGCAGGTGGGAAGGTGTGTTTGGGCATTTAATGTGGAAGGAAGGCTGAAATCTGACACCTACTACTAATTTCTCAAAGCAAACAGAAGGATTAGGGGCCTATGCCAAAACCTCTTAAGGTTCCTCTCAGGAACCTCAGTAGAGGCTATTCATTTCACTAACGGTAATAATAAATGATGGAAACAACTATTCTGCCAAGGGCTTTATGTTCCAAGTATTGTACCAAGTACCCATTAGCTCATTTCCTTCTCAACCACCCTGTGGAAGAGCGGTTACTGTCTGCAAGGTTACTGTCTTCTTGCTCACGGCTACACACCTGGGAACTGGCAGAGCCTGGAGGTCGGACTGCCCTGCTCTTGAGTGGGCAAAATTGGTGAAACAATCCCACCTCTGAAGTTCACTGGCATGTCAGAGGCCTGAGGAGTCCTGCTGGCTTCCCAAACTCACAACCCTTCTTCAGGTGAATGCAGTGGGAGCCACACTGACCAACATATCTGTCAGAATAGAGGTAAGAAGGCCAGATTCCCATTGAGATGGGCTTTTTTCAAGTGCTAAAAACATTTGAGCACTTTGGTACTGTCACTTAGGTTTAAAGATGTGTTTATCTTTAATAGTTTTGGCAGCCCCCTAAAGAGAAAATTTTAATTTTCCCTAACAAGAGAAATTAAATACTAATAAGATGGTCAGGTAGGATTGCACTTTGGAAGGCGACATTTTAGTATTTCAGGCTTTTTTTGCCCCCAAAGAACCAATTTTCGTCCCCATGGAGGCAGTATCATCCCCATGGAGAATGAGTGGTTTAAAGTGTTTGGAGAGAATGGCAGATTGACAGAAGGTAGAATCCTTCGACTTCTCTATTGGCTGCCTTCCCTTACTAATGACAAGCATCTTTAAATTAGAAGGAGAACAAAGATTGATTTGTTCAGAAGGCTGTGAAGAGATGGGTGGGAGGGCATCTAATCACGTTCACTCATGAACTTCCACCAGCCCAACCACACACTGGCAGAGTGAGTGCCCTCTGAAGGACTCCCGGGGCTCCGGCCAGACAGGGAAGGATCTGGAAACCACATCCTGTGCAGAAACAAAAGTGGTGGGGGAGAGGTGGTTCACATGGAAAAGTGTAAACAAGGAATGACAACTGCTACTTTCAAATACTTGAAAGGTGGTAGATTAGAAATGCCAGTAGATTTACTATCTGTGGTTTAAAGGAAGGAAAGGAGGGGCAAGGGAGTGGGACAAAGATCAAATTCTGGTTGAAGGTAGATGAACTTTCACCATGAGCTAAAGGTAAATGAGCCTCTTTTTTTAATTAAGAGGCTCCACCAGCAGAATGGGATGCCTCACCACGTATTTAAAGAATCCATCACCACCACCACCCTCCAATTTAAATGGACGAGTCAGAGACATATGGGAGAGACTGTGTCACTGGGGGAGAGGCAGGACTTGATGACTTCTAAGACTCCAATCATCCCTCAGGACTGTAGGATTTTCTAACAACCCAGATGAGTCCTAGAAAGTGGCAGATCCTATTAAAATCACAAGAATTAAATTTAAATATTTAAAAACTCCAAATAATAGACCTCTTATGTTAAGTAACATCCAACCCCACCAAATTCTACAAAATGACCACTTGGAGTGGCCCTTGGACTCTGAAAATTGTGATCTATGTTTCTGTGGTTCTAACTGCTTCAATAAACCAGGAGGGACTCTGACAGCAGGGGACAGGCTGATGTTCTGTAATCAACCTAAGTGATGTCATCCCCTCTCACAAGTCAAAGAAGTCCAGTTTCGTAAGTAACATAAGAAGACAGCTGGCCTCCAAATGACAAGCCCGCAAAATCGCCAGGGAGTTATATGGTAGTTCACGGAAGGAAGCTATTCCTTTAGCCACTAGTAAAACCCTCGAAAGCATTCATTTTAAACTGGGGGTCACAACCTATTAATGGTCACAAAATCAAGTCCATGGGTCTTGATCAACATTTTTATTTTACTTTTTTAGGTGAAGTAGAACACAGTAGAATGGCTCAAAAATAGAACGCACTACACACATCACGAGTGAATACTGTTTGGTCAAACTTCTGTTTCAGTTAAATATGTGTGTGTCATGATTAAATATACTTCTTAACACAGTCGCCCTAAAGAACCAAAGCTTAGGACTAGGGACACAACCATGCAGAAAGAGCAGGCAGACCAGACACTCCGGGTTGAGATGATGAGTTTAATGCCACAGCCGACACCCACATTCACACTTTGGCTCCTTCAGACAACTTGATCTTTGGGACTAGACTTTGTACAGAGTCAAACACCACACAGAAGCACGTGGTTGCCACACGCAATACTCCTGCCTTTTAGCCAGGGGGACAAGATACCTATGTCTCATGATCAAAGTACTCTTTTATTCTTAAATAAGAATTTTAATTTGCTTTGACCTCCCAAGGCTCTAATCCCAGTCTCCAAATTCGTCTCAAGGGATGTTCTCTTCATGTGGGGACGGTTTAAACAGAGGCCGCCTCACCAGAGCAGCCTTTCAGTCCTGCAAGTGTCTCTAATCCATGATATGTACATGTAGGTTTGTGCAGGCAGGGAACACACATGACAGAGAACTACTTTGGTGGTACTGGACGGCTGGTGTTTCTTCACTGGATTTTGGTGATGGCTTCATGGATGGAGGTGGCCACATAATCTAGATTTTTGGTGGTTAAGCCACTCACGTTGATTCGACCACTTGGCAGCAGGTAGATGTGCTTTTCATTGATCAGATACTCAACCTGCTTGGCTGTTGAAAACCAAAAGGAGACATAATCAGAGCAGAGGGGATCCTTAAAGCAGTGGAGGCTCAGCAATTGCATGACAAGAGAGAAGGAGAACAAAAGGCGCTATTTTGACCAACTGACAAACAGAAAAATACACTCACTAGATTCTGGAAAGTACTCTTACTAGTTCACCTTTGAAGCCCCAGAAAATTCAATATGGCTACTACTGATGGGAATTTTAATCTGGGATTGCCTTCCAACCAAGCCTTATACATTTACATCCACGAGGACACCCCTATCAACTACAAACAACCATCAGATGGACAGCGTTATGAAACGCTGGCTATGAAGTGCTTCCTTTAGTTCTTCCCTAACCTGGACTTAACACTGAGCACCCGCAGCAGCCTCCCTTTGACATTTCATATTTACAGTACACTGGACAAAGCCCCAGGCATGAGGTACCTGATCAATACTGTGTGAATTAACCAACGAGCTGAGAAATGACACAGACCTCTCTGACCCGGCACCATCAGACTTCTGTTCATTTCTCAGCTCTCTCGCAGATGCAGCAGAGTTTCTCCATGTTTGCAGAAATGTATCACATATGAGTAAGAACAGACTACCTATACTTCCTTTATACAACAGTCTCTAGAGCAGTTTTGCTATTTGGCAAATCCATTGGTAGAATTTTAGTGAATTCGGCTGGGCACAGTGGCTCACGCCTGTGATCCCAGCACTTCGGGAGGCCGAGGTAGATGGATCACCTGAGGTCAGAAGTTCGAGACCAGCTAGGCCAACATGCTGAGACCCAGTCTCTACTAAAAATACAAAAATTAGCTGGGCGTGGTGGCATGTGCCTATGGTCCCAGCTACTCAGGAGGCTGAGGCAGGAGAATTGCTTGAAATCCAAGAGGAGGAAGTTGCAGTGAGCTGAGATTACACCCCTGCACCCCAGCCTGGGTGACAGAGTGAGACTCTGTCTCAAAAAATTAAAAAAAAAAAAAAATTAGTGAATTATTGCTTAAGTAATTAGTACTTTTAAGATACCACCAACCTGAGGAAATGGAATAATAATAAAATCATCATAATCAGAGGAGCGAACACTTATGTGCTAGGCAGTGTTCTAAGCACTGCATCTTAGTTCATCCGGATAATAACTTTATCGTGCCCGTCTTATAAATAGGCCATAAAGACGTTAAATGGCCTTCCGAGGTCGCACAGCTGGTCAGTGGTGGATGTGGGATTTTCAGGCAGGATTTTAAGTCCAGGCTGTACACTGTGATGCTACACTGCCTCTCTATGGAAGTAAAAACTCTGGACCCTGGACTCAGGGCTCCTTGAAGGAAACCAAAACAGTTCACCCCAAAATATACTTTGACATATTTTGAGATGGCTGTTCAGAGGGCCTACATACACAAGTAGCCCTGCAAAGCTGTCTTTTGTGAGACAGATCTGTATCTGTAGAGAAAATCTGCATGGCTGCAGCTAGACTTTCTCTGAGGACCTCCCTTGTCCAGATCTAGGGGAAATTAACTGAGAGTCTGATGCCTTTAAAAGTCTAAAAGAAATAGACCTTTACCAGCTATTTTCTCCGAGGGCTGCTACCTGTGACTTATCTACATAATATAACAAGACCACCTTTGCTAACCAGGCCTTCTCTTCTCTGTCTGCCACAACCTGTTTTGCCAAGCTCCAAGCTTCCATTCTTTCTGTAACCCCAAGATGATATAAAAGCATCAATCATCTGGCCGTTTATTTTAGTTTTATTTTGTAAGACACCTGTGCAAGTTAATAAATTTGCATGCTGGCCAGGCACAGTGGCTCACGCCTGTAATCCAAGTACTTTGGGAGGCCAAGGAGGGAGGATTGCTCAAGCCCAGGAGTTAAAGACCAGCCTGGGCATCATAAGGAGACCCCCATCTCTACAAAAAAATCTTAAGAATTAGCCGGGCGTGGCGGCACACGCCTGTGGTCCCAGGTACTACAAAGGCTGAGGTGGCTGGATTGCTTGGGCCTGGGAGGTCAAGGCTACAGTAAGCCACGATCGTGCCACTGCACTCCAGCCTGGGCAACAGAGTGAGACTGTCTCAAAAATAAATAAATAAATTTGTATAACTTTTCTCCTGTTAATCTGCCTTTTGTCAGCTGATTTCCAGCAAACTTTCAGAGGGCAAAGGGTAAGTTTTCCCTTGACCCCTCCAAACAAACAAACAAAGCAAGCTTCAGAAGTGGTTTACCTGTGTGAACTGGTCACCCAAGGCGATAGAGCCTCAAGCCAACACAGCCCCGGGTGCACCACTGTTTCTAAAGACCTGTGCCCTGAGGCAGTGATTAAACGGCTCCTACGCTTGTTTTTGGTTTTGTTTTAGTAAAAATGAGGCCTTTCTACTTTTTCAGAGAAGGGAGTGTCAGAGTTTGAGAAGCCAGTAAAAGTTATGGACTCTTTCCCTAGAGTAGGGCCAAAATACACATACACAATTTTTTAAACATCATTTCAGGGGCTTCACAGTTCTCCTAAAAGTACATCCAGGGACTCCAGGTTAAAAGCCCCATTCTGACAAAGAAAAGATAACAAAGGAAGTATTGTAATGTGAGAACTGTAGAAACTAGATGGTGAGTGTATGGGAGTTCACTGTACAATTCCTCCAACTTTTCTGTATGTTTAAAACTTTTCCGGCCAGGTGCAGTAGCTCACGCTTGTAATCCCAGCACCTTGGAAGACCGAGGCAGGCAGATCACTTGAGCTCAGGAGTTTGAGATCAGCTTAAGCAATATGGTGAAATCCCGTTTCTACAACAAAATTAGATGGGCATGGTAGTCCACGCCTGTGGTCCCAGCCACTCGGAGGCTGACGTGGAAGGATCACCCAAGCCCAGGGGGTAGAAGTTGCAATGACTCGAGATTGCACCACTGCACTCTACCTTGGGTGACAGAGCGAGACCCTGTCTCCAAAAAAAAAAAAAAACGGCCGGGCATGGTGCCTCATGCCTATAATCCCAGCACTTTGGGAGGCGGGGCAGGTGGATCACTTTGAGGTCAAGAGTTTGAGACCAGCCTGGTCAACATGGTGAAACCCTGTCTCTATGAAAAATACAAAAATTAGCCAGGTGTGGTGGCTTATGCCTGTAGTCCCAGCTACTTGAGAGGCTGAGGCAGGAGAATCGCTTGAATCCAGGAGGTGGAGGTTGCAGTGAGCCAAGATTGTGCCACTGCACTCCAGCCTGAGCAACAGAGCAAGACTCTGTCTCAAAAAGGAAAAAAAAAAGGTTGGGAGGAAAACAAAACCCCTGTTTTTAGTAAGGGCAAATGATGTCAAGTGCTAAAAATACAACTTTTGTGTTATAAGCACACTTCTATTCTCATCATTTTCCCAATTCATAATATTAATAAAACTAATTTCCTCCTGTGGATAATGGGAAGATACAGATATTTTATAGGGAGACATTCCCATATTGTGAGCTTTTAGACTATTACTACTAAAGATTATTAATACTTCTGTTACTTATAATGTTTTTACAATTGTGAGTGAATTAATTCTCCGTTCCACAGTCAAGAGGACATCTACAGCTAACTGAGCTATTTCTTTACTTTCTTAGGTAGCTTCATTTTACCCCAAAGTATTTTGAGGGGTCCACAATACAAGCTCTATTAACTTTCATTTATATTTATTTCCTTTGGATTTTTCTGAGAGCACTTCACGCTGGCACTGTGATGGCCCCAGTTAAATACCTCCCCACGGCCTCTGCTGTTATACCTACAAACCAAACCAGCCACACATCCCTCCCTAGAGTCACTGGGACACACAGGTGAGTGGCCACATCTGCACTGTGGGAATTACTAAAGAAATGACGCCTGTAATCTCAGCTACTTGGGAGGCTGACGCAGGAGAATCGCCTGAATTCGGGAGGTGGAGGTTGCAGTGAGTCGAGATCACACCACTGCACTAGAGCAAGACTCCATCTCAAAAAAAAAGAAGAAATGCCTCTTCTGTCATCAGATGGGACTGCAGATGGCAGATGTGCCCTACTGACAACCGACCAAGATCACACATGACCGCCTACTAGATTTTCAATCAGCTTTAATTCCAACCACCAATCTAGGTTCTTTTTTTTGTTTTGTTTTGTTTTGAGACAGAGTCAAGCTCTGTTGCCCAGGCTGGAGTGCAGTGGCGTGGTGTCAGCTCACTGCAAGCTCCGCCTCCCGGGTTCACACCATTCTCCTGCCTCAGCCTCCCGAGTAGCTGGGACTACAGGCGCCCGCCACCATACCCAGCTAATTTTTTTTGTATTTTTAGTAGAGACAGGGTTTCACCGTGTTAGCCAGGATGGTCTTGATCTCCCGAACTCGTGATCTGCCTGCCTTGGCCTCCCAAACTGCTGATTACAGGTGTGAGCCACTGTGCCCAGCCCAATCTAGGTTCTTGTTTATGAAATGCAGAGATAACTTTGTAACCCCTTTTTGAGGATAATACCTAGAAATAGGAAAGATCTGTTAAGAAATCAGGTCTCTGAATAATCATACATATTTATATTCAGGATTAAGGCAAACCCAAAATGTACCTGAGCATTTATAAGAACCTTTCATAAATTAAGGCTCCCAGCTACCAATCCTGTTACCTACCGGCTGGCTCTGAGCCACTTCCCAGCCCACAAAAATGGAAATATCTTGGCTGTGGGTCAGCAGGGCAGACCACAATACTCTTCTGAGACCCAAAGAGTTTACGAGACCGTGGGACACCGTAAGAAACCCTAACTTGTCTTGGTCCAAAGCAACGGCTACCCAATTAGGCAAAGGACACGAAGGTGAGCTCAAGGCCAGCGACTGAAAGGAATGTTGTGTGTCTACATGCACACATGTGCTGGAGGTGGTGGGGGCCACTTACGGTTCAACCCAGTGTAGCTGAACATGCCAATTTGATCAGTGATGTGGTTCCAGGTCCCAGGGGTTTTGAGGGCTTCTAGTCGTGCCCTGAGTTCAGATCTCATGGTCAGAATCCGGTCAGCCATTGTCTTCACATTACCTTTCCTGAAGCATGGACAGTGACATAAATACCAATCCAGACAGGAAAGATGGTACCCGAAAACACACAGGTTTAAAAACCGTAATTTAAATGACAGCCGACAATGGGATCACAACCTGCCTATTATGGCATGCGGATGTCTGGATGGGTGGATGAACATACCAGAGAGAGAGACACTTAGGGGGAAGAAGGAAAGGACTACATTTCCTAGTGAGTCTAGTGCTGGTCTTGGGTATACTGGCCATAATACACTCACGTTTCAACTCAGGCTTCACCGAGGTGCTGCTATAGATATTAATAGGGTAATATGTTTCATCAGGACTTATTAAATAGAGATTGCAGATGTAGCTACTATATAAAATTACTGTTCTAAAATAAGATAAAGTGTAGGTAAGTTACAGATAAAAACCAAGAGCTCCCAAACTGTTAAACTGCCTAGAGGCTGGGTATTCTATTCTGTTGGGAATGTCTTCCTGGGTTTTCAAACTTTATCGGGAGGTAAGACTGGGTGGAGGGGAAATTGGGGAAAACTACCATTCACCGAGTGCCCCCTCCTCTCTTCCAGGTGTTGTGTTATGCACATGTGAGGTAGGTATCAGCCCGTTTTACAAATATCTGAGAGTCAAAGAAGCTAACGTAATTTGATCCTGCTTCTGCCAAAATGAAAGGAAGAGACCCAGTTAAATGTACTGGGACAATTACTGCTCTGCACTCTCCACCCCCTGGCCCACCAAACTGGGAGCCCCTTACCATTCCTCAAAGAGCTCAGGGTTAGAGAGGGTGTCGGCCACGATTCGTGCTCCCTGGGCAGGGGGATTGGACCAAGTAATCCGCACAATCTTCTCCATCTGGGAAAGGACTCGCAGGATGCTCTCAGGTTCTTTTCCAACCACAGTCAGATTCCCGACTCTCTCATCTGAAGAGAGGGAACACAATCAGCTGTGGCTGCCGAAGCGGGGAGCGATGCGGGGAGATGGGCTGTAACTCCTCGGGAGAGCACTCACTGTAGAGCCCGAAGTTCTTGGAGAAGGACTGGGCACAGAAGAACTCGAAGCCTTCAGACACAAAATAGCGAATGGCCCAGGCATCTCTCTCTAGGTTTCCAGATGCAAAGCCCTGATAGGCTGAGTCAAAGAAGGGGAACAGAAACCGGTGCTGCAGGGAAGGAAAGTGAGTCAAGGCAGGAAATCCTTCTGGCACCAACCTCAGACACCAGCCTTCCTTCCCCAGCTGATGCCTGGAGGGAATTTCAAACGCTGTCCATTTCTCCTATTTCTTGACTATATGCACCCAAACACCACTTTACATCCATTTCTCTCTACAACCAGCAAGTGCCACCTTTTCCGTAAACTTTACTTTTTAAAAGTACATTGTCCTAGAGTATCCCAATTCAGCTTAAACAGGGCTTACTTCTGATGCAAGGACGCAGTGTCCTACATTGTGGATTCTCCCCCGTGAATTTCTGGCGTGAGAGCCTTAGTCAAGTGTAGGCTTGGTATCCCCAGGGCTCCTCACAACCTCGAGGCTATTCCACTAGGTACTCAAGAGGAAGGGAACAGAGTAGCCTCCATTCTTGTCATTCATCTCCTCAAAGAGCTCTCCACAGGGAACCTACTTGTACAGCTGGGCTCTCTGAGTGGGCACTGCTTCCCTCCCCAGAACTGTCCAAGCCTTTGGTTATACTTTGATTCCCATCTCTTAGGTGTATCTTGATTAGGTGGGACTGGGAGGTGTCTGGACTCCTAGCCCAGGATGACTCCTCTGCAGCTCATCCCCCACATCGTGGCACCCCCCAAGTCCTATCAGTCCTGTCTCTTCAGAGCTCCCAAATCCTTTTGCATCTCAACATCCCCACTGCTACCTACTTCATCCAGGTCACCATCAACTCCTACCTGGGCTATGGCAACGGTCTCCTAACTGCTCCCACAGCCTGTTTAGTCTTGCCTCTCTCTGATCCATTCCCTGCTGTGACATCCGGGTGACTGTAAGACCATGCACATCCGATCATGTCACTCCCCGACATCCAGGATTTCAGTGATTCCCCACTGCCCTGAGAATAAAGTCTAAGCCTCAGTACAGAGGCCGCCCCTATTCACTCTAGCCTCATCTCTCACACTCCCCGTGATCTCTGCCTGGGGCTTCTGACTATGCTCTGCCCTCTGCAGAGTACATCCCTTCCCTGTCAACGCCTGTCCGCTGATGCCTTCTTAACTCTTCCCCATCCTACAGGACTCAACATGGAAACCACTTCTTCCAGGAAGGCTCCTGCCACCAACCCCCTACTCCCACATATACACTGCCCAAAGTCTGCACTATGTACCCCCATATAACACCATCAACACAGCTATCTCACAGTATCGCAGCTGCCTTAGTACTCGTCCATCTCCACAAACAGGCTGTCTGTCTTTGAGGGTAGGGACTGCATCTGCTCCATTCAATACTGTATTCCCACAGTGCCCAATACACAGCAGTTCCTCGGTAAGTATTCTACAGACTCATTAACGAAGAATAGACACGCTTTCAGCTAGGAATTCCCACCTAGAAATTACGCCAAAGAAATCATAAAGGGAAGTTTTGTTATGTAATTGTTCATCAGATCAAGTAATCTGAAGTAAACCTAAATATTCATCAGATGATTTACCCCATCCCTCATATGACACATCCATGAAAGGAATATAATATAGCTATGAAAAATGATGCTGCAAAATATTCAATGACATGTATATAAAGAAGTGAAAATGAAAAACAAATTGTGTTGCAAAAAACAGTACAGACAAAATGATCTCATCTTTGTAAAACATATATATATAAAACTAGACACACACATACACACACACACACACACACACACACAGTCTGACATTCCATCTACCAAAACATTAACAGTGTCTTTCTTTAGGTAATAAAATTTACAGTTAATACTTATTTTTTCTTTGGACTTTTCCCATTTTCCTAATTCCTCAGCAAACAGCAAACAGGTATTACTTCTGAATACATTAAATAAGAAAACATGCTATTTTTTAAGAGATGCTCAGAAGAGGCAGTTACCTTCATGACAGAAGCAATCTGCTTCCACTGCTCCGGAGTTGGGTCGGTCCCAGTTGGGTTGTGTGCACAGGCGTGGAGGACAATGATGGAGAACTCAGGAGCGTTCTGAGGAGAAGGAAGCTATGTCAGCTCTGACACTGACGGGAATACTGGGAGACAGCAGCAGATCAGTCAGTGATGGAGGGCAAAGGGCAATCATGTCCTTGTCACTCTTTCATGTCTCTTTTGTGCCCTCTCTCTTATGTGCTATGTCAGAAACCACCATCTGGTGTGGGGAAGGTGTCTCAGACCCCTTCACCTAGCAACTGGTCCAAAGACTTTGCCTGCTATTCCTGACACCATGAAATTCTCTACTTTTTCCTCTAAATCACTCACCTCCAGATCATTCAGGAAGCCCTGGAGGTCCAGTCCTCTCTTCTCTGCATCCCAGTAGCGATAGGACCGAATGTCTTTAAAACCAGCAGCGGAAAATACAGCATTGTGATTCTCTGCATGCAAAGGAGTAAAAAGTTAAGCACTTTTACAAACACTAGGAGGCATGAGTGGAAAGGATGCAAGTCAGCTTCCAGGGCCCTCCCAGGCTCAATGTCCACTGGGCATCATGCAGGCTGGGGGTTAAGATATAGAGGAATGACTGTAACCAAGAACAAGTTCAACCAGTCACATTAATGCCAGACTTATATTCTACTACAATGATACTTCCTGCATCTACATTCTATGCCTCCTCTGGGGAGTTTCAACATAGCCTTGGTAGATACAAGTCCACCGAGAGTCTTGAGAAAGAGTATTCTTAACTTGATTTTGAGCAGCAGGTTTCTCATGCACTGCCATAACCCACTGTTCAAACCATTCCCAATGGTCAGTTGTTCCAGGGCTGGATTACATTTTCTGTGTAACCAGGGAGAGTCATGAGGATAATTCTCTCTGGTTTCTGTTTTTCCTCTCACTTCAGCTGAAAAACTCACCCCAGGTTGGTGAGGACACATAGACGGGTGTGTTCTTGTTGTTTGTTCCATTGTACCAGCGCGCTAAGAAATCAGCCCCAATTCGAAGTGCACCCGTTCCCCCCAAAGACTGCACACCTCCTACCTGAAAGAGAAGAAATAGGGTCACAGGCTGATGATGGTAAGGTTAGATAATATTTATAAAAAGAAGGTAATAATGAGTACTTACTCTGTGCCTGTTCTGTGCTAAGCCTTTTAATCATATTATCTCATCAAAACCTTACAACAACTACATAAAAAAGGTACTATGATTTGCCCATGTTTACAACTGAGGAAACTGAGGCTGAGAGAGGTAAAGAACCTTGCTCAAAGTTACCAGCTACTGAGCAGGAGTGCCAGTCTTCAACCCAGGAGGTCTGACACTAGAAGAAGCTTCCTTTCTGAACACAGAGGTAGAGGACACACCAAGGCCACAGAGTGTGTGTGTGTGTGTGTGTGTGTGTGTGCGTGCACGTATGCACATGCCTTAGAAGGCAAACCCATCTCTTGACAGCACCCATCCTAAGATCAAACTTACCCTCTAGCATAAGCCTCTAAAACAGTGTTCCTAACTTGTCATTGACATCAATCTGTACTACTCCTCATCTCTAGAATTCAGGCTTATTAATCCTTAGAAGTACATTCTAACAAAACAGAGGTGATGCATGAATACTACTTTCCTCTCCTTGGCTTCCTCTCTCTCTTTTTTTTTTCTTTTCTTTTTGAGAGAGTCTCATTCTGTTGCCCAGGCTGGAGTGCAGTGGCATGGTCTCGGCTCACTGCAACCTCCGCCTCCCAGGTTCAAGTGATTCTCCTGCCTCAACCTTCTGAGTAGCTGGGACTACAGGTGCCCGCCACCATGCCTGGCTGATTTTTTGTATATTTAGTGGAGACGGGACTTCATCATTTTGGCCAGGCTGGTCTCGAACTCCTGACCTTGTGATCCACCTGCCTTGGCCTCTCAAACTGCTGGGATTACAGGTGTGAGCCACTGCACCTGGCCAGCTTCCTCTCATCTTAAAGTGACCTAACATAGGCAACAATAAAAATCATATTTTATCTTTTTATTTATTTATTTATTTTACTTTAAGTTCTGGGATACATGTGCAGAATGTGCAGGTTTGTTATATAGGTATACATGTGTCATGGTGGTTTGTTGCACCCATCAACCCATCATCTAGGTTTTAAGCCCCACATGCATTAGGTATTTGTCCTAATGCTCTCCCTCCCCTTGCCAACCAACCACTGACAGGCCCTGGTGTGTGATGTTCCCCTCCCTGTATCCACGCGTTCTCATTGTTCAGCTCCCACTTACAAGTGAGAAGATGTGGTGTTTGGTTTCCTATTCCTATATGTTATCATTTACAAAATGCTTTCACGTACATTCAATGCCCACATGCCCTCAAAAGTCAAGTCTATATCCCCTGACACATGAGGAACTGATTCAGAGACATGTTTTCCCAAAGGATACACAGCTGTGAGTGGCACAGCTCAGCACAAATCCAGGTTTTCCATTCTAGACCGAGTCACTACATTCTAATGATGTAGTTATTAGAATAGATCTTTGCCTATAGATCTTTGACTTTGCCTCTTCAAAATTCTAATTAAGTTTCAGCATAAGTCAGCAGAAAAATGTCATAAACCACGTTGCCCAATTTACCTAAAGGATTGAAGAGAAAGGAAGAAAAAGATCACATGAAAAAGTATATCTAGCCAGATGCAGTGGCTCACGCCTGTGATCCCAGTACTTTGGAAGGCCAAGGCAGGTGGATCACTTGAGCCCAGGAGTCTGAGATCCAGCCTGGCCAACACAGTGAAACCCTGTCACTGCTAAAATTACAAAAAAATTAGCCAGGCATGGTGGCACACACCTGTAATCCCAGCTACTCGGGAGGCTGACACACGAGAATCATTTGAACCTGGGAGGTAGAGGTTGCAGTGAGCCAAGATCGCACCACTGCCCTCCAGCCTGGGCAACACGGCGAGACTCTGTCTCAAATAAATAAATAAATACAAGGAGGGACACACACCAATCTTCTAACAGTGGCAACCTCTGGAGAGGAGTCCAAGGATGTAGTGGTTGAAAGGGACTTTGGCCTAATCTGTAAGTCGTTTTTTTAAAAATAAGATGAATGTATTCATGTATTAGTCATAAAATTTTACAACAATTTAAAACATCTATTTAGATGTCTGAAATTTACTATTAAATAATCCAGCTCTGGTGGAGGGCAGGGAGGCAGGGAGGCAGGGAGTGGGGTAGAGGGAAATATACAGGATTGAACCTATACAGATAATTGTCGAAGCTAGGTGATGGATACATTCCTCATACTAGCAGGGATTCATTCTTCATACTGTTTTCTCTACTTTCATATAGATTTGAAATTTTCCATAATAAAAAGGTTTTTTTTGTTGTTGCTTTTTGTTTTTTGTTTTTTGTTTTTTGAGAGAGTCTCGCTCTGTTGCCCAGGCTGGACTGCAGAGGTGCGATCTCGGCTTACTGCAACCTCTGCCTTCTGGATTCAAGTGATTCTCCTGCCTCAGCCTCCTGAGTAGCTGGGATTATAGACATGCGCCACCACACCAAAAAAAACCTGGCTAGTTTTTGTATTTTTAGTAGAGGTGGGGTTTCGCCATTTTGGTCAGGCTGGTCTCGAACTCCTGACCTGGTGATCCGCCTGCCTTGGCCTCCCAAAGTGCTGGGATTACAGGTGTGAGCCACCGCACCTGGCCAATAAAAAGGTTTTAAAACTCTTCTTAGAGAAGAAAAGCTTCCTAAATCTTTTTAAGAACCTAACATAACATTGATGCTGAAAGACAACAAAAGGGAAAAAAGTAGAATGAGAGACCTAGCTTGTACCTTGATACTAACTTCCCAAGTAAACACTAATGAACAGTATTAATCCAGCAGTACATTCAAATTACCCCCTTGATTGAGAGTCATCCCATGAATGGATTATAAGACATAAAACCTGCCATGCTGCTAGATCGAGAAAACCCAAATGATCATCACAACAGATAAGAAAAGCTTGGTTATTCCTGAGATAAATGCTTAGTAATATAGGAAACAGTGGATACTCCCTGAAAATGACTGAAAAAAATGATACCAATTATCGTCACTATTATGCACCAATGTTCTGTTTGTATTTATAGGTGTGAGCATCTGTGAAAGAATACTATCTGAAATATGAAACATAAGAAAAGTTGACACTCAAGGGGATGCAGAAGTAAACACAGCTGTACATTACAGAGAGGAGCGAAGGCAGTGCACTGGGGTGAAAATGCTCAGTGTATGTCAGATTTGGTGGGCTAACTTCTCTGTTCTTTACAGTGATCTTTACTGAGCACTCATCCCTTGCTATTACTTTAAAAGTTTTGCCCCCACATTGTGGCTTACCTGAATTCTTTATGCAAATTGCTACCAAGATGATACAACACAAATGTGCATTTATTTTTTATAGGTTTGTCATCCAGCTAAGTTGAATGTCAATTTCATACATGACTTCACATTTCAGATACCTAAGACACTCTGGAGTGCTAATACTTCCTAAGCATATGAGCAAGACTTCCCTTGAACATGGTTTTAACTTCTGGAAACATGACAGACGCCAGTGGAAACATTTCCAGGCATAATTTTTCATTTCCTGTGCCCAACTTTTAACTCCACCCTTTCTCTCCCACTACAGAAAGCCAATTCATTTTTTTAAAAAGTCAGAATACTTTAAAAATGTGCTTAGAAGAGATAAACCCACTCCACATTAACTAATCCTTGACATCCATGATATATATGACACTTGAAATATCAAATTCTCAAGAAGTTATCACTCCCTAAAACTATATTAAATACTGGATGGCTTCAGTGAAACACAAGTTGCTCTAAATATCAGCAATTAACAGAAACAAGTTTTTGGTGAATCAATAACATAGCAATTTGGTCATTCTGCGAACTGATTTTTGGCAAATTGTCCTACAGCCTAAGAATGTACTTGTTATAAAGGAAAATCACAACATCAAAGGAAATAAGTACAGACTTCTCAAGGAGCCAGGCAACTGGACCTGGGTAAACAGGAGTATCCAGAAGAAGGGAAATCCAGGAAGACTTGGTATGAAGCTAGACAGAGCAGGCCACTGCTAGACATGTCAGCATATGATTGCTGAATTCTAGAACCCTTGTCTGAGATAACAATTTGTCAATACTATGACTTCACTGTGAGGACTAGGAGAGCAACCAGGAGCTGCCTGTGGCCAGAGCCATACTGCATTCATCTGGGTGGCTCCAGCATCTCTCACGGCATCTGGCACATGGTACTACATAAGCATGTGCTGAACTAGATGAAGAAAGAAGACAATGGTTGTTGGGAACAGGCCCCCCAAAATCTGGCCATAAACTGGCCCTAAAACTGGCCATAAACAAAATCTCTGCAGCACTGTTGTGACATGTTCATGATGGCCATGACCCCCACGCTGGAAGGTTGTGGGTTTACCGGAATGAGGGCAAGGAACACCTGGCCCACCCAGGGTGGAAAACTGCTTAAAGGCGTTCTTAAACCACTAACAGCAGCAAGCCCGATCTGTGCCTTAAGGACATGCTCCTGCTGCAGTTAACTAGCCAAACCCATCCCTTTATTTCAGCCCATCCCTTTGTTTCCCATAAGGAATACTTTTAGTTAATCTATAATCTATAAAAACAATGCTTATCACTGGCTTGCTGTCAATAAATAAGTGGGTAAATCTCTGTTTGAGGCTCTCAGCTCTGAAGGCTGTGAGACCCCTGATTTCCCACTTCACACCTCTATATTTCTGTGTGTATGTCTTTAATTCCTCTAGCGCCGCTGGGTTTGGGTCTCCCCGTCCGAGCTGGTCTCGGCAAGTGGTGAAAAGATGTGAGCCACAGCAAAAGCCCCAAGTCTCCTACAGGCAATCAAAGCGAGAGTGGGATGTCATGATGTGACAATGAGTTATGGCCCACGAGCCCTCCTTTCTACAACGCTCAGTAATCTCAAAGCTGAAACAGTACTATGCTGGGGATGAAAAATGAACATTTCTGTCTGGATCCTAAGATCTAAAAGTAGAAAAGTAGTACAAGGGAGTGAGGAGTCTAGAAAATAGGTCTCCACAAAATGGGTAAAGGATCTGGAAATGTTGAATCTGGAGAAGAAAAATCTAAGGGAAGAAATGATTACTGCTGGTTTTCTTGTTCATTCATTCTTTCATTTATGTCACATCTTTAGTTTTGGCTCAAATGTCATTTCTATTTCTATCATAACCACCCTAGTTAAAACTGTATCCACTCCCAGAATTCCTAACATGCCTCCTCCTGCTCTATTTTTATAGCATTTATCATCTTTAGTATACTACATCATTTTCTTATTGATATAGTCAATAAGATTACATTTGTAGTCTGTTCCTCTCCCCAAAACTAAAAGCAAAGGCAGACGATTCTGTATATTTGAGTCACTGCTGTGCTCTAGCATCTGAACAGTGCCTGGCTCTAGTAGTGGGCATCTGATGACTGAAGGAATGAATGAATCCAAACCTCTGTAATCTGAGGTACCCGGATAAGAGCCAAATGCTGAAAATCTGCAAGGTAAATAAGGAAGCAATGATCCCTGCTCTGGGGAAAGTTAGGGTCTTGTGGGAGATGAAGACTTATAAAATTGTCCACTATAGTAAGCACAGTTAAGTACTGTTATTCCCAAGCTGTGAACAAAGTCCTGTGATAACTGAGAGCTTAAACAACAAGCTCTGCCTAAAATACCTAAGGACTCAGTGTGGAAGTGACCCCTGATCAGCTCTTGAAGGACTTAGAGGTGGTGACTGGAGAGCTAGAGAAGTAAGGGAGGGCATTCCAAGTGGAGGGAAGGGCCAGGCAAAGGTTCTTAGTCATGGCAGGGCCCAGTAAGTCTAGAAAACAGCAAGGCTCTTAGAATGGCAGGACCTCTAGTGGAGTGAGGGGAAGTCACCAACTGTAAGAACAGGATGACTTTCAGTTTCTAAAGAGAAAATACATTCTCACCCAAAACTTACCCGCTTCTCCTTGAGAGCTGGGCTGTCATCCCCAAGGGCAAGACGAGAAGCACAGCTCCGGAACTCGGCCAGGCCCAGGATTGGCAGATACTCATGGTTTAGGCTATTGTCATTAGCAATCTTCTGCTCCACTTTCTTCACTACTGGCAAAACCCAGGGATGGCAGTCGTCGGTGCGATATGCTGGAGAATGGAAAAGGGTTATACACAGAGGAGGCTCAGGCTGTATCCCAGATAAGAGTTTGTAACTGTGAACTGGGAGAATCCCACCACCTTCCAGTCAAAACAGAACAGTGAAGGAAATTGGAGAAAAGTTCGTTCACTTACTGAGTACCTAATTTGAGCCAAGCACTGGGGTAGGTGTTGGGCAAACATAAGGGCAGATGTGGTCCCCATCCTTGTGGAACTTACAGCTCTTAACTATGTGACCTCCAAAAAGTAGAATGCTGAAATAAAACTGGGACATCACAGAGCCTGGTCACATAAGACAGTACATAGAAAAGCACTCTGCAAAGTAAAAAGCATCTTGCAAATGTCATGTCAATATCGCTATTGCATTGAAGTCTCTAGGCCATTGGCCCAGCAGTCTTCCTTCTGCATCTCCCCAAAAGACTTCCAGAAAAAGCCTAGGTGCCACTTCCACATGAACTTGGCACCTTTAACACAAACATGGAGAAGGAGCGGAAGAAGGCCCACCACTCCTCCTGTCCTAGAAGAGCATAAGACGAATGATAAGCAAATACCCTGAGGATTTCAACAACAGGTGACACAATCACACAAGGACCCACTTAAACACATCTTTATCCTCTCTGTATTTTGACCTCAGCCAGTGTTTACCCTTCCAACTTCATCCCACTTCATCTGCCTCACCCTTTCATTGATCTAAATTGATCTGGTTCACAATATTTAATCTTGCTCTACAGTAAACCTCTAAGTATTTCCTCTTCCTCTGAAAGTATTTTTAAGTCACTCTGAGTTATCCATCACCAATTTCTTTCCCTACACTATTCTATGATTATGTTAGGATTAGAGCTTTACAGGGCAGTTGCTTTAGCCTTGCACCCACGTCAATAATCTCTCCAAGTAGGACTCCCAGCAGGGGTCGTTTGCCTCTCTGCTTGAATGTTTAGGTCCAGAATAAGCCTATACTTAACGCAAGTAATTTTGAAATGGAAACAAAATTTTAGACTGATTCTGATTTTTATTTTCTTGATTTCTGCCCAACATTAATCCCTGACTTTAAAAAAAAAAAAAAATCACATTTTAGGGTTGTTGTTATTGTTTACTGAGCAACACATTGATTGCAGAAAATTGGGAAAAGCCCAGAAGATAAAAAATAAACATAATTAACGTGTGATTGTGTTTTGAAACGTGAGAAGGAAATGAGATTTGGTAGGGGTCAGGAGTGGAATGATATGGTTTGGCTCTGTGTCCCCACCCAAATCTCATATTCAATTGTAATCCCCAGTGTTGATGGACCATGGGGGCAGATTTCTCCCTTGCTTTTCTTGTGACAGCGAGTGAGTTCTCACTACATCTGGCTGTTTAAAAGTGTGTAGCACCTCCCACTTTGCTCTCTCTCCTGCTCCGCCATGTGTAGGTGCTTGCTTGCCCTTCACCCCTCCTCCATGATTGTAAGTTTCCTGAGGCCTCCCAACCATGTTTCTTATATAGCCTGTGGAACCATGAGTCCCTTAAACCTCTTTTCTTTATAAATTACCCAGTCTCAGGTAGTTCTTTATAGCAGTGTTGAGAACTAACATAACATATAATCCCAGTACTCAGAGACAAGGAGTATGAAAATTTTGGTGTACAACCTTCTAAGCTTTATTTTCGATGGCCATATTCTTTTATAAAATATGGATCATACTGTACATAGAATTTCAACATGCTTTTTTCCATTTAAATATATATTATGAATTTTTCTTCCTCATTAACTATTCTTCTAATAGGTGACATGTTTGCATGTCTCTATCCCATTCTTATCCTCTATCTACCTAGTTATCAAATCCCTCCCAAATAACAACTGTTAGTTTCTTAAATATCCTTCCAGCATTTCCCTATGCTTACACAAGCAAACACAGCTTCTTACATATGCCCTTTTAAACAAAAGGTAGCACACGGCGTACTATACACTGTTTTGTGTTCCTTGCTTTTTCACTTGAAGATTGTTTTACATTTGCACATAGTGTCCTTGTTCTTTTTACAGTTCCTTAACTGATGAATGTACCATATTTTACTTTGTCAGTCTCTTGTTGGACATTTGAATTGTTTACAATCTTTGGCTATTAAAACAATACTTTAGTGAACAACCCTGTACATACGTCATCTCACATGTATGCAAATATATCTGTAAGATGCCGGGTGGAAAACAAAAGGGTGGGCTAAGAAGTATGTGTTTTTGTAGTTTTGACAAATATTTCCAAATTGTCCAAATTGATACACGAATTATATCAGTTTACATTCCCACCAGCACTGTTTAAGAGTGTTTGCTTCCACATAGCCTTATGCACTGAGTGAATTTTTGCCAATATAATATGTCAAGTAGTTTTAATTTGCATTTCTCTTATTATGAATGCAGTTGGGTATTTTTCATACATATGAGCCATTTACAACATCATTTTAGAGGCTAAATAATATTTCTTTTTATATATAATGTATTAACTGTGTTGCTTTAAATTATTTGCTATTATAAACATTGTGATAAATGCTCATATTTATGCATATTCCTGAGTGTTTTCTTAGGAAAAATATCTAAATGTTAATTTATTAGGTCACAGGATATACAGCAAATAAAAGACTTTATAAGATCGCTTTGAATGTCTTCCATCAGCTAACTCTACCCTCCAGGAATGTGTCATCTGCAAATCTGAGAAACATTTCAAGCTAGTAATAGAAATGTAGGCAGGGCTACGGACTGAGAGCCACTGACCAAATGCCTCTGGGTAGGTGAATCAAATAATACTCTCATATCACTCATAGTCTACCTTCCGTCTCTAGTGAATCTAACTCACAATACTTTTTTCTTTTTTTGAGACAGGGTCTCACTCTGTTGCCCAGGCGAGAGTGCAGTGGCTGGCACGAACACAGCTCACTGTAGCTTCAACCCCCTGGGCTCAAGCAATTCTCTTGCCTCAGCATCCCATGTAGCTGAGACCAAAGTCATTCACCACCATGACCACCTAATTTTTTTTTTCAATTTTTCATAGAAACAGGGCCTCACTTTGTTGCCCAGGCTGGTCTCAAACTCCTGGGCTCAAGCAGTCCTCCCGCCTCGGACTTCCAAAGTGCTGAGATTACAGGCGTGAGCCACCATGCCTGGCCCAACTCACAATACTCTCATACCATTCATAGTATACCCCTTAGTCCACCAAACTTCTCAACAAGTTCAAAAAGCTTCCTTCGCCAGCTGGGATTTGGTCTGGTTTCTCCAAAGATGTACCAAAATAACTACTTCCAAGTAAGAGTTGTCCCTAAAGCACATCAACCTATCTATGATCACAATGCCACCATTGTTCAAAATATTCTTGAAACTTCTTTTGGAATTGTTTTTAGAGGCCACATCTTATTATTATGAATATCCTCGATAGTGCCAAATCTTTGTCCTTTCAAAGTTAATTATTTTTTGGGAATAGCATTTGCATCATCTCCATTGAAGAGCGTGAGTGAATAAACTGGGTAAAACTCACGGAGAACAATTATTTTAAAAAATGATCTCTTGTGTGGGTCCTACATGCCTTGACAGCCAGTCTAAAAGGGGTTTCCAGAAATCTTGGAACAAGAAAAGCATATTTGAACTACCTACAAAGGATACTATTTAGATGCACAAAAATTTGGGGTGTTTATAAAAAACCAGTTCTGTTATGTTTTAGTTCTGTGTCTGGGTGTTATATCTATTCTATAACATTATTAGGTTATATGTTTATATTTATGATAATATGTCATTCTAAATAATGTGTTACAGATAAATAAAATATGAAAGAGAAAGAAAAGACTGGAATACTGCTGTTCTTACCACTACTGAATATTTTGTGAAACTCTAAAATTCCTACTACTTGGGTTGGGGATGGTTGGAGAGGCATTGCGTCTATACTGTGACTAAAAAAACTGGCCAATTCTCCATTGCCCAGTTTTTCCCAGGCTGAGTTCTAGATTTGTTCCCAATGCCTCTCCTTACTGCCCTAGTGAAGCAGAACCAGATTCCTCTTGGGTGACTGGAGCAGTGAAGTCAGGCATTATCAGCAACCACTATTCCTGCTCTCCCCAAGAATTTTTATTCCTATTTGTTGGATCCTTGAGTTTCTCATTCACTCTTTCATTCAACCATTCACATAACAAATACTAAGTCTCACCATGAGCTAGGCACTGGCTCGCAGAAGCTACAGAGATTGATACAATAAGATCCTGTCTGCCCTCCAAGAAACACAGAGCATAGATAGAGCCTTTAATTCTACTTTGAGGAGTCAAAGATGATTTTGCAGAGGATGAAGAATGAAAGATGAATTAGAGTTTAAAAGGTAAACAAGGGAAGAAGGGCATGCCAGAGGGCACACCTGTGTAAGGCCCCAGAGGCCTGGGGAGCATGAGGTCTTTGAGGATCTACATTTTCATGACTCTGACATGGAATCCATTAAGGATTAGCTTATTATTAATTATTAGCTTATTACTATTAAGGAGTGGCTAAAAGAATCCTGGAGTCTCTTTCAAGGAACTTCAGTTTCAATGGGTAATCACTGAAAGCATTTAAGCAAGCGAGTGACATGAACAGTTGCACATTTTAACGGGATCATTTGAGTGACACCACAGAAAATAAACCGGAGAGAAGGACAGAGACAGTAGTTAAGAAGGGTGAGTTACTAGAAGTAGAAGCAGTAGAAAGCTACTGCAATATTCCAGAAGGGAAATAATGAGGCGTTGAATTCATGCAATGGCAGCAGGGATAAAGAAAAGGAGTGCCACTAGAAATAGATTTGAGGTAGAAAAGACAGAACCTATTGACCAAATAAACAGACAGGGGACTGGGGAAAGGACTGCTGTTGACTCCAAGGTCTCCCTCACGTCTGGATAATGAGTGGGTAGTGGTGGTGGGGTGGACCAAGCTCTAGAACACAAGGGGAAGATAAAAGAAAGGATCAAGGGGAAGGTAGAAATGATGAGTTGTGCTTTGAACACGCTGAATTTGAGGGAGCTGTAGGATGTGTCCACTATAGGCCTGACATTCAGAGATGAGGTCTGGGACATGGAGAAAGACATTGATGGAACCTGAGGGCAGAATAATAACACGGATTTACTACTTTGTACATACAAGGTACTGCGCTAAATACATTGCTTTACTCTCATTTAATTTGTATAGCAATCCACAAAATAGATACTGTGATGTCTATTTTAAGGATCTGGCCACTGTGGCCAGAAAAGTCAAATGATTTGCCCAGGATCACAGAGATAACAAGAGCTAGGCTGTCAGTTCATGGATCCATGTGCTTTTCTAAAAGCAAGAGATGTCTAGAGAAAGCCTGAAGCAAGCAGGCCCCTGGGACCATGTCAGGGGCCTTTTTATCAGCATGCTCCCCAGCTCCATGCCCCACTGGTCTTCTTCTTGGGTACAAGCCCTTTTAGGGGACTCACAAAGTCTACAGGTGGGCCCATGTGGGCCCAGCAGTCTTGCTTTGCAAGAAGGAAAGGAAGAAAGAAGACGGAAATTTAAATGGTCAAACCATCATCCTCATCTTCCTCCTAAGATCTCCACTTCCCTCATCCATCCCCACTCAAAAGCCCAACTAGGATACTAGGGAGAAGGCCAGGGGTACTCAGAAACACCTGATAAAGTATATATTTCCAACTATTTTATTTGAAGATGCTAGGAAACCATGTTGAAAACAAGAAATATTAAAGCTAGCAGAGTATATCTGCACCAAAAGAAAGCTAGGCTCACATGAAAAAGTGGACTAGAGTCTTTGAAGAAACTTCTTGCTACAGGTTGCACCAGGTTGGATCCATCTCCCATGTCCTTAAAGCCACTTCAGTCTGAAGCTTTGAGAAGCACTAAAATGATCAACTTAGAAAGCACTGTGCTTAGCAGTGGAAAATGTGATACTCTCCTCTGTTTACCTATAAGGAAATTATTTAAATCATCACAGCAAGAACAACTCTGGGGAAACTAGCTCCAAGTAGAAACTGACTTGAGATTACAGTTGTAGTTTATTCTAAACATATCCAAAATCACTGGTATATTAACTAGATAACCTCCATTTGGTTTTATCTTAACTTGGGGAAAAAAAGTATCTTCCTTAAGGTCAATGATTAATTACATTTTCTTCACAAGGGGTATACTTGGGGATGTGTATAAATAAGGCTAGGACATATAAAAGCTGGAAGGAGCCCTTTTATTCTACTCTAATTAGATCCTTATCCAAACACCTGCTATCCACAAAAAGACGGGTCACACTGATGATCAAAAATAACATTTATATATAACACGTTTTATTTACATATCACATTTCACACATAATTATTCATTTAATCCTCAGACAACTGATGAGGCCAGTAAAATTATTATCCTACACTATAGTCATAGAATGTGCTAGTGAATTGTGGAGTAGACTTTTAGTACAGTAGAATCTTAAGAGTAGAATTTGAGAGAAGGTCATTCAGTCTTGGCTCCTCATTTAACAGACTGAGCCCCAGGGATGTTAAATAACCCTTCCAAGGTCACATTGCTGGACCACGGTGCTGGGCGTGTACCTAGGTCTCCTGGCTCTTCCCACTACAGTGTACTGGCTACCACCTGGAGGTACCTGAAATAGAGGTGCAGGCAGAGACTCTGAGGTCTGAGAGACCTGGCCTGGATTCCCAGCTCTACCACCCAGTGGTCAAATGACCTGGGGCAAATTGCTTCACCTCCAGTCTTCGGCTTCCTTGCCTCTAAACAGTAATAGTAATAAACCACCCTCCAGAGTTGTGAGCATTAAATGAGATTACATGCATAAATCATTTGCTCATGGTAAGGAACTGGAGTTCCTGGAAAACATGACAAAGGCACCACCACAGCTGGGGTGGCCGTCTGAGCCAATGACTCCCATCCTGAGTCCATTGCTTCTGGCCTGTGCTGTCGGGGTGCTTTTTCTCTGCATGAGCAGTTTATTTCCAAACTAATGGCATAAATTAGTTCATTTTGCAGTTCTTGAACTGAAAATTTTTATTCAATATCTTTTATGAGAATCACTCAAAGAAATGCCAGAACAACAATAACAGTAATAGCTAACACTTATATAAACCCCACTTATGTGCCAGATACAGCTCTAAACACTTTAAATGTACTTAATCCTCACAGAAACCCTGTAAGATGGTTCAAAGGTAAACTGAATTAATGAAATAAATCTGACGTGATTTTTTCTTTTTTTTTCTCTCTCGAGATGGAGTCTCACTCTGTCACCCAGGCTGGAGTGCAATTGGTGTGATCTTGGCTCACTGCAACCACCACCTCCCAGGTTCAAGCGATTCTCCTGCTTCAGCCTCCCGAGTAGCTGTGACTACCAGTGTGCACCACCACCACGTCCGGCTAATTTTTGTATTTTTAGTAAAGACGGGTTTCACCATGTTAGCCAGGCTGGTCTCGAACTCCTGACCTCAGGTGATCCACTTGCCTTGGCCTCCCAAAGTGCTGGGAATACAGGCGTGAGCCACTGCGCCTGGCCAAATCTGACGTTTTAAAAAGATGTATTTACACTGACAGTAATACTAGTTCTTTGTATATATCTGGCTGCAAAGAAACACTTGGAGGTTTTGGACAGGATTTAATTTAAGCGACCAAATGGTGTCCACTCAAATTCAATTTGAGGCAATCTTTCAACATTTCTCCCACTCTGTTGCCTGCTAAAAACATCATTTTCCCTCAATGGACTAAACTATGTAGTACTGACTTATTTTAAAAGGTTTATGATGAAAAATTTCAAACCTATACAAAAGCTGAGAGAATAATCTAACGTATGCCCATGTACCCACCACCCAGCTTCAACAAATTACCAGCTTCAACAAACCATCACTTTTCAATGCATTTTTCCTTACCCCTCCCCATACTCCTTAGGAAAAACTTTTTTTTTTTTTTTTTTTTTGAGACGGAGTCTCACTTTGTTGGCCAGGTGCAACCTCGGCTCACTGCAACCTCCGTCTCCCGGATTTAAGTAAGTCTCCTGCCTCAGCCTCCCGAGTACCTGGGACTACAGGCGCCCACCACTACGTCCAGCTAATTTTTGTATTTTTAGTACAGACAGGGTTTCACCATGTTAGCCAGGATCGTCTCATCTCCTGACCTCGTGATCCGCCCATCTCGGTCTCCCAAAGTGCTGGGATTACAGGCCTGAGCCACTGCGCCCGGCCGACTTTTTTTTCTTTTTTTAACAAATGCTATGCACAGACAAAACATCATCTATGAGAAACCTGATTCTGAGCGTCCTTCATATCACACTCTGCTACAAAATGATTCCACCTTCTCTTTCCACAATTTCTAGTCCTTTTATTCTAAGTCTATTCCCTAGCATAAGGCTTTATCCTACCAATTTTCATCCCTCTGGCTTTGCATGTGGCAAAATCCAAACGGAGAAAGTAAGTGTCTGTGGGGCTTCAAACATCCAAATGACACTGAGAAGAATAACAAATTCATCAGAGAGGGTAAGGGGTAAAAAATGTGAGAGGCACTCCAATACAAATCTTCTTCTTGGCAGATGGGGAAACTGAGACCCATGCTCTTAGCTGTCCAAGGTACAGCTGAGAATCACTTGAATCAAGAAATGAAGACAGGGTGTGGAAAGTAAGCTTCTACTATCCATACTTCACTCCTTTCCACCATCTCTACCCATTCCTACCACACCTGTGAGGGCCAGAACCATTTTCCCAGACCCTCCGGGGGCAGCAATAAACTGTCTCAAAGCATGTGTAACATCAGCAGATTTTTAAATCCTTAAGGGCAAAAATCAAACCTCAGTCTCCCCCCACAAACCTTAATAAGGTAGTTGATTGACACTCAGTGGTCACTCAAATATTTACCGACCCAGAACAGAGCTTCCTAGCGTTAAAAGTTCTCCTTTACCCATTTCCCAGCAACCAGAACCCTAAGCCTATCAGGCTTCCTATTTTTCTCCCTCTCTCTACAAGCTCCGGCAGCCCCATTTCTTATGAGGCTGTAGTATAAAGAACGCAAAATGGGTCATCAGAAAGACTGAGTTTGTGTCTTGGCTGCTACATCTGGTTTGTGCGGCCTCGGACACATCACTCCTTTCCAGGGACTCCACACCCGGATCTGTAAAATGGGCAGGTTTTAGGAAGCCTTCGTGGATCCAGCCTCCTCTCCGGCGCCGCCCTCTTCAAGCAGCGCCACACTGGGCCTCGGCTTCTCCCACAATGTCCACGACCTGGGGTGGGTCCGCTCCACTCCCCGAGCTGCTCACACTCCAGAGCACTGCATCCTTACCTCCCACTCCCAGGTTGACCTTGCGGGGGTCCGGATCCTCCCGGAAGTCGGCAGTGAGCTTGAAGACCAGGACAGGCTGGGCCTGCGGAACCTCGGAAAAGACTGACGGAGGCGCCATATCGAGAGAGCAGGAATCGAACGCTTTCACCCTGCGCCCGGAGCTGGCCGGTCAGGTCTGGCCGCTGCGACTGGAGGAGACTCTCACCTTCACCTAGCCGACGGGGGCGGGCCCGCGGCCTCCAATGGTCGAGCCGCGTCCAGAGCTTGGCAACGCGATTAACCAATCGTTAGCTTGTGACGACGAAGAGACAGGCGGGAAGGAACGCTATTAGCCAATCCAAGAAAACAATCTTATCGGCGGCCGAGAATGATGTAACCAATGCAATTTACTCCGGCTGAGGCGCGGGCGGAGACTACGGTTGATTGGTAGAGCGTGCTCCTATCGCAGAGGCTGTTATTCCTTCGGTCTCCCCGCGGAGGGGAGGAGCCGAGCGCGCGGCGGGTGTCCAGGAGAGGACGCCTCTTCGACCTTCGAGGACCTGGAGGATACGGGGAGGTGGCCGGAGGGAGTTCCAGAGGACAGGTCTTCCTGTTCCCGCCGAGCAGGTGTTGGCGCTACCAGGCCCGGCCTGGCGGGCACGGGCTAGCAGCCAAATATGCAGCGTCTGTGCTCGGGACGCGAGTGTTCGGCCAGGACGTACAGCTCCGGAGCCCGCGCGGGCGACCTTGACCACTTTGGTCGGCTGTTTCCCTCTGAGGGAAGTGTAGCTGTGCTGCCAGCCTTGGTCTCTGGCAGGGAAAGTCCTTCCAACAGGGAGGGGTGCCCACGAATTCCTTTTTGCCGCTCTTCTATTAATAGTTTGAGATTTTCCTCCCCGGTTCCTTGCAGAGGGCCTGGTGCTCAAGGACCTCGGGATCTGGGCGCGGCGTCCCTTCCCAGCTTCCTCCCGCGCGCACTGGACCAGATCTTGCTGTCGTCAGCTGGCTGGTACCCAAAGTGCCTCTTCGTCAGGCTGTTCCTTCCCCGTTCGAGTCCTTCCTCCCCAGGAGCCCTGTCCATCTGTTGACCTTCAAGACCCAGAGCGAATGCCACTTCATCCATGAAGCCTTCCCTTAACCCTTATTCTGGCCAAAATGTCTCTTTCCTGTGCTTCTGTACTTTTAAAAATTTTAGAAAATGCCTTTGTGGTTAAGAACCTATCCCCGGGACCGGACTATCTAGGTTTAGAATCTGGCTGCCGCTTACGAACTTGGCAGGTTTAGTCACGTTATTTTAACCTTTCTGTGGAAGTTCCTGCTCTGTGGAAATAATAGTATTTTCCTCAGAGTTGGTGTGCGGATTTTGTGAGTTATTACATATACGAAGTGGTTAGTTGCATATAAGAACCACTCTCTAAATGTCAGCTATTGTTACCATTGCATATCTGCCACATCCTTCGTAGATGGTAAACTTTTTTTTTTTTTTAAACTTTTAGGTTCAGAGGTACATGCACATGTTTGTTTTATAGGTAAATTGCTTGTCCGGTGGGTTTGGTGTACAAATTATTTTGTCACCCAGATAGTAAGCATAGTACTTGACAGGTACTTTTTCTGATCCTCTCCCTCCTCCCACCCTCTACCCTCAAGTAGGTCCCGGTGTCTTGTTCTCTTCTTTGTGTCCATGTGTTCTCAATGTTTAGCTCCCACTTATAAGTCAGAACATGTAGTATTTGGTTTTCTCTTCCGCATTAATTCACTTAGGATAAAGGTCTCCAGCTCCATCCATGTTGCTGCAAAGGACATGATCTGTTTATTTTTTATGGCTGCATAGTATTCCATGGTGTATATGTATCGTATTTTCTTCATCCTGTCTGATGGGCATGTAGGTGATGGGCATTTCGGTTGATTCCATGTCTTTACGATTGTGAATAGAGCTGCAGTGAACATACATGTACATGTGTCTTTATGGTAGAACGATTTGTATTCTTTTGGGTATAGACCCAATACTGGGATTGCTGGGTCGAGTGCTAATTCTGTTTTAAGTTCTTTGAGAAATCGCCACACTGCTTTCCACAGTGACTAAGCTAATTTATGTTCCCACCAGCATTGTATAAGCATTCCCTTTTCTCCACAACTTCACCAGCATCTGTTATTTCTTCACTTTTATTCATAGCCATTCTGACTGGTGTGAGATGATATCTCATTGTAGTTTTGATTTGAATTTCTCTAGTGATTAGTGATGTTGAGTATTTTATATGCTTCTTGGCCATGTAGCTTCTTTTGGCTAGGGACCTGTAAGTCTCCCTAAGTTTCTTGCACTTACTAAGCCTTCAACAAATGGTGGAAGAGTCAATTCTCTTGGTGTTTCAGAAGAAAACAATATCACAGCCCCTCTCCAATGGATAGTACTATAAATCTTAAAATGAATTTTCATTCAGAGTAATAAACACAAGCCAAAGTTTTGTAGATATGTAACATCTGTCAACTTTTTGTGTTATCTACTTGTTTTCCGAAACACTGCTTCTGGTTTTAAAGGTAACTTCCCACAGTGTTTCACTAATAACATTTTAAGCATTACAAGTTCAACACTGAAGGTCAAATGACAATGAACTTTCAGTGCTTCCAAAAGCAGGGGCAGAGGGCAACTGCTGAGGGGGACATTGTATAGCCTAACCTTCTCAGAATTTGATTTAAAAGTATGATCTTCACAGCGTTGGCCAGCAATATCATGGTCACTCCCTACGTCATTCCCTGGGAGAAAAACAGCCCTAGGTTACCTAAACACTGTTGGCTAAGACCAAATATTTATTAACATCCTAAGCAGCCCCATAATCAAGCCAACGCTGATAGGGACAAAGAAGGTGCCATGTGCAGTTTTTCTCCATGTCCCCGCAATATCTGATCTGAATTTTTAAAAGGGCAATTACTGGGGGAGAAGGAAGCCTATATATTATGTAGGATCCAAGTCTCAAACTGCTTTCCTAGGGAGTGTGAGGTTCTTGGAGATTAAGTGCAGTACCTTTCTGTCTTGAGTCCTGTAGGCTGCCCTTCTAATTTAATGCCAGTCTTGAAATAAACAGAATGCTTTCCAAGTCATCGCTAATTTTAACACTTTGGCTTAGAATTGATTCAACACTGCCTCCTTGCTGAATGGATAATTCAAGCAAAAGACTCAAGAGCTGGATGCTACCCAGACAGGTAGGCAGCCAGATGAAGTGAGTGCCCAGGGAAAGGACAGTAAGGGTCAGAAGAGAAAGAGGCTGGTGTTGTCACTGCCTCCTGCCTTCCTTATGACTGTCTGTTCAGGAGTCCTCCTAGCATCTCCCTTCTGCTGTGCTCCCTTTCCTGAAACCTTTTCTTCAAAAGAAGTGGAAAAGAGGAACAGGGAACCCATATAGCAACAGCATCACCTGGAATGAATTCCTTTAGAACATACTGTCTTGGAAATCTAAAGCCTGCAGGGCTGGACAGGCAAGAAGAGCAGTGAGCACTGCATGAACCTATAAGCAAATCAGCATGTGGATGGTTTTTTGTTTTTTGGGTTTTTTTGAGACAGTCTTACTCTGTTGCCTAGGCCGGAGTGCAGTGGCACGATCTTGGTTCACTGCAACCTCCGCCTGCTGGGCCAAGGTGATTGTCCCACCTCAACCTCTCAAGTAGCTGGGACCACAGGTGTGCACCAACATGCGCAGTGAATTTTTGTAGAGATGGGGTTTTGTTGTGTTGGTCAAGCTGGTCTCGAACTCCTAGGCTAAGGAATCGGCCTCCCAAAGTGTTGGGATTACAGGCATGAGCCACTGCACCAGGCCACACATGCTTATTTTACTCAGTCTTGCCCCTGAATACCCAGAAGGCCTAAACTTAGGAAAAAGTCAGGGGAGGGATGAGTTTATCATTCTTTGCACTCAAGCACAAAGTGCTTTGGAGTCGTTATATTTGGGTGAGTGCTTGCACTATGAGTAGGATATTATTTAGAAGCTGAGTTGTGTGCTGAGCAAATACTTCTTTAACCAAAGCTGTATGAAGAGAGCTGTTCTAGAGTCACAGTGTGGCTAAAGAGTGTGCTATAAGATAAGCATAGGGCTCCTGAGGTGGTGCTGTTCTCCCACTGTAATGAGTTTACTGTTCTTGCTAAGGAAAGTGATCCTTTATCAACCTCTCCTCTCAAATTCACTGGCTTGTTTCCTGAGTGTGCCTTCATGGAACCATGTCTCCTCTTCCCTCAGTTCTCTCCTTCCCTCCCTTATGTATGACTCCTCCCATAATCCACACACATGGATTGAACCAAGTGAGGATATTTATCTGCTTCCTACCTCATAGAAGGGCATAGAGTGGACAGGGTCTAAGGTTAGTTCCTGAACTGAGTACCCACACGTGCAGAACTTTATTTAAAGCTGCTGAAATCGTTGTATAACAGATAGATCAATAGGACTGAAAACTGATGGTTTTACCTACTTGTTGAACGTGATTAAGTTCCATGGCACCATTTTAAAATTGTGCTGTATAGTTTTTGTATGTTGCTTAAGAAGCAGTTTAGCCTAATGGTTAAAAGCATGGCCTCTGGAACTAGATTTCCTCTGTATGCCTCAGTTTCCTCATCTGGGAATAATAATAGTTCTACCTCATGGGGTTGCTATGAGGATTAAATTATTTAATTTAATTAAATGATTTCATATAACTCTGAATTGTACTTGACACTTAGTACTCAAATATTAACTGGGCCCATCATTATCATTACAGATGTTGTTTACAAGCACTTGCCTTTGAGATTTGTTTAGCTTTTTTATTAAATTATGAGCGGCATAGTAGAACAATACATAGACTTGGGCCTGGAATCAAATTCTAGCTTTGCCTGTTACTAGTTTTGAAACTTTGAGTAAATTACTTGATGTGTCTGAGTTTTAATATTCTTATATGTATATTATTTTTTAAAAGGATTTTGCTTAGTGTTGATATACACACGTTTAACACAGTTATGGAAATTATTATTTTTACTATTGTCATAGATAAGAAATTAGCCCCTGGGTTGCTGGAGGGTGGTAATGGTTAGGCAAACTCTCTTTGAAGTCTGCTTGATCTGGCCTCTTGCAGGCATGTACTCTGAAATATTTTTCAAATGGAAAAGAAGGCAGAGAACACAATTTTCAAAATATCTAGAGGCCTCCGAGAAGTCTTTGTAGAGATCTATAAAATCTCAAGGCAATTTAAAGGTAACAAGACAACTTTATTAATAGTTAATTAAAATGTAAATGTTAATGATAGCCCTCTGTATACCTATATTATCTTTTTCTGAAGAATAGAAAATGTTTTAGAAACACTATTCTCTCCACATCTGGGGCCGCAGCCTTCTCCAAAGAAACACAAAGAAGGAAATGAATTGCCTTAGCAAAAAAACAAATAAAGACACTCCAAATAACAGAAGAATGGGAAAGCTACAGACCTTGAAGTCAGAAGAAAATTTCCTCTCCTTGCCCTGTTTCTCCTTAAATGGATCACCAGTACAGTCTCTTACTTCTAGAGCCATGTTAAGCCTTTTTCCCCTAAGTTGTAATGTCCTTTTGGTCGCATCATGTCCTAAGATGCAAGATGGTACAAGATGAAGGTATATGAAGAGATAATGAAGGAAACAAATTCAATGTATTTGCCAAGAACACAGTCTTTTAAATAACTCTTAAAGGGTTCGTTTAGAACAACGTAATAGAGTGTGGTAATCTAGTACACAAAGCTTGTAGGAATCTCATGTATTAATAATATTTCAACATTCAGCAGTAGAGGGCAGCACTGTCCTTCTTTTGCAAAATGTTGAGCACTCTTGAGAAGGAAAATAAAGGCAAAGCTCCTGACCCCTCTATCTGTGTTTACTTTTACCATAAAAAGAAAAAAAAAAAAAGAATTGGAGTATTTTTATTATGGTTTAGGTGATTATGTATAAAGAATGTCAGAGCCTGGATTGCCTGGAAGTGGTACACCAGGTAATGCAAAAAACACGGAAGGTTTGAGGTCCCCCACTCAGGATATGGGTTCTGTCTAGCAAAGATAAACAGTAGCTTGACCCTGGGTAATCAGATAGGGTTATTGTATGAACAGACTTAATGCTCCTGCACTTTCTGGATAGAAGTCAATCTACTGAAATAGCAGGATGTGGTTTTAAAAAATGTGTGTAACTCGTATAGTCTTAGCCCTTTCTGCTGTGTTAGTGTTGCTCTCTGTTATACATGGGTCAGGTCAGAACTATCTCAAATACAGTATGTGTATTATGACTTTAAGAAATGGTGTCAGACATGATGGGT